ATAAGTCTGCACCATAAATTTTAAATTAATTTCAAAAAATAAATAACAATATTTAATAATATTTATAATAATTATTTAATTGGTGTTGATATTTAAAATAAATTATTTTAAATAGAAAAGAAGAAAATAATTGAAATACCTGGAGACTTTAACCTTTGTCGTTGGTTATATAGAATTCCATCTGCCAAATATTCTCATGTATTTTCCCAAACCGCCTCTGGTTTAGACATACTATTACACATCAACAATGTGGCAAATAAGAAGCGTAGATAAAAACCAAATCCAGAATGACTTGCTTCTTTAATTGCATCAATGTATTCCTTGTCATCATCTAATAGACCGAGTGCAAAACAAGCATCTCTAAAAGAAGCATATGTTTGACCGTTTACTGTGCGAATATCATCAAATGACGTCGGTCCTTTAACTTTATTTAAAAGAATCCTTAAAAAATAAGCTTCGCCAAGATTAGGTGAAACCGAATGAATTCTACCAATGGCTTTTCCTACTTTCCTTCACTTCTAAAATCTACCATTTAACACCCAAACAAACTTTGTAGGAAATTCAACATATCTAAGATCTCGTGCTTCACTATTAATTGCATTACACTCCATCCATGATGTGAACTTTGAAGCAACAACAGAAGGTTTGTCTAGAACATCGTCGATATCATCGTCTTCGCCATATACAATCTGTTGTTTATTAGGAAGATGAAAAGGTAGTCTAACCACAGAAGGATACCTGCAGTGAACAATCATATTTAAATAAGGAAGATGAAAAGGTAGTCTAAACACAAAAGGATACCTGCAATGAACATCATATTTAAATATTCTCCATGATGCTTCACATGCAGATAAATATCTACAATCGTAATATTCAGTTATTTCATCGACCGCATCATTATTTTCACATTCATTGCTTGTTGGTAGAACAACAACTGTAGCTCTATCAGGACCCTTGTTTATGTATTTAAACAGATACTTTATAGAAGATCCCTGATTGCACCATTCAACATTAATATGTGCCTGATATCTTTTTAATAGATATTTGTTGTATGGAACAACATTTCTATTATCCAACTTGACACCCGACTTTTCTACAAAATGACCATCGTCTCTTCTCCTATATAACGGAAAACCATTCTGATCAATAGACGAATGATTACAGAATTGTTTTGGAAAGTTTTTAGAGAACTTCTTATCCACCATGCATGGACAATTCATATTTTGAGCTCCACATGGACCATGAATCATGAACTCATTGACAAGTGAATATAATTCTGGCTCTTCAACTTTGTCCGGTATCTCGGCGGAAATTATCGGATCGATAAATTCAACAGTAGGTAACTTGTTGTCAGAATGCATAAACAAACAAATATGACTATGCGGCAAACCTCTCTTTTGAAATTCAATGGTATAAACATCTGCAAAATATTTGGCAAAAAAACAAAATATGATTAGACAATAAAAACATATAAGAAATATACTATAATAAGAGTAATGTTTTATCAATAATGAAAAAATATAATCTTAATTACATGCTTGAACTGTGCCGAAAATTTTATTCTCCCTTAAGTCTTTAATAAATGCATCGAGCTTGATCTTGAACAACCTACATAATATATCAGGTCTGTCTTCTGATTGAAGTGAAGTATCCTTAAGAAACCTTTTAATCTCTGGCCATTTGGGATTACACGTAAAGGTTATGAAAAAATTTGGATATCCAAACCATTTACAAAGTGACATGGCATCCAAATAGTTTTGCAACATATATCGTGCACCACCAGTAAATGACGAAGGTAATATCACACGCTGACCGACATTGGAGATATTAGTGGTTCCTTGAGCTTTCTGGTTACGTAAATTCTCATAAGACTCGCATCTAAGAACATGTTGTTGCCTACGTATGTAATGCAATCTCTTTGTTTCCATCATAGTATAGGCATCTACCAGAAACTGTTGAAACAACCTTTTTGAATTAAGAATGAGCGAGAACGAATGATCTCTATCTTGAATTCTAAAAGCGAAATATTCTCTCATTGTACATTTCGCCCGCTTGCTGGTGGTTGTAAATGTCACACCTCTATGAAGAATGTCAACACTGTAACCATCATCCCCATATGGAAATAGCAGTGGATATTGAAGAGGAAGGTATGAAGGATGCAATTCACTGATACGCTGTAAAAATCCAGATTTTGTTTGAACAACAATATCCCTATTTTCAATTGATTCACAACTGTCACCGATAATTAAGGCGGCAACCTCAGAAGCAGTCGGTAGGTTATATGTTCTTCCATCTCGCTCCCTTCTCCCGATAAGTCGTAATTTCATATCGACTTGAGGATTTTTCTGAAAAGTATCTCTTACCATTCTATAAGATTTAACCAACACATTATTTGAATCCAACATCACCTTAATATCTTCAATAATATCGGTGTCAATTGATGTTGATTGATCCTTTTCCCCACTAAAATAAATAAATTTTTACATAATATTAGTACTTAGTCTATATATATATATATATATATATATATATATATAATATATATATATATATATATATAATTATGAATAAGGAGTTTGAAAAAATACCCAAAGCATCTCTGTCTATTTGAAATTTCGTTCTCAGTATCATAAATGTATAACTGAGAGAATTTTGGTTCCGACTCTTTTGCTGGTAAAAGGCTTCCAATACTATGATAATTTTGACCACCCAATCTAAAAATGTATGGAGCGTTTCCTCTATTGATTGACGTATCAATTTTACCACCCATCGACGTAAAAGAAAACATTGAGTCGTAACGTCGAATGTTTTTCATGAAGTGTTTGCTTTTAGAATCCATATTTCGAAACATTCTTTCATAACTCGAGGGTGCTCTCTTTAATTCCGGAAGTTGAACTTTGCCGTAAGCACAACATAATGAATAATCCGTGTTCCTTTTTTCTTTACCTCTAATGGATTCATTTCTCCATAACTTTGCATGACATGTTTGACATACAACATTTTGATCACCATGATCCAAATATTCTGTAAAAGAAAAGGCAAAGAAAAAAATATTTCTGAATTTTATAAGTATATACAACACACTATTTAAAATGTAAAAAAAAATGAAAATGGACATTATTTTTTGATTACCATTTGAGATACCAACCATAAGGTTTTCATTTATGAGTTGATGTATATTTTCTACATCTTCTCTCAAATCAATCAATGGGATAGGGGATAAATTTGTCGTCTTCCTTTTTAATTTATGACATTCTGGATTTAACTTGATTGATGATGAAGAACTAGTTAATGTAGATGCATTTTTGGATGTCATATCATTTGAAAGTACATAGTACTGTCTTTTGTTTGCTACGTTCGAAGTGGAATATTTATCGAAACTGATGTTATCTGACCAAAATAAAAAAAATAAGTATATATATGCAGATTATATAGAATATGGATAATAGTACATTTTAAAAAACAATAAATTATTACAATTTGTAATGTTAGATAACGGAGTTCTAACATTTGTAATGTTAGATAACGAAGTTCTAACATCTGTAAAGGAAGGAGAGTATTGTACGTTTCTATTTTGGATTGCAGGTGAAGTAAATGAACTGACATTTTCAATTTGACCAACAATGTTGCTTGATTGATCTGCAAATAAATTTTTTTTTTTAAAAAATGAAGACATATGTATAAAACAAAGTAATGACATGAAATCATTTAATATTACAGGATTTGAAAAAAAAATTATTAGAGATCATTTATTGTATATAAATGTAAAATAAACTTAAAACATAGAACAAAAAATAATATTAGGGTTAAAATTAATTATATTTTTTAAGAGATGCGCTATTGATGTACTTGGAATGTTGGATCTTGTATTCATTTTCTTCGATCTTTTATTTTCCAAACATATTTTTCTTTGTCTTCTTTTCTCTCTGGCTTGCAACTGGTCCATGTTATTGTTGTTTTCTGCATAATAAATAATAGGACAGGAAATGAAATGTATAATTAGGTAAATATTATTATTATATAATAATATTAAAGTAATAAACGTACCTTTGTAAGCATCGGTTACAAATTTCGAAGAAAATTGACTTGCATCGGAGGAAGAATTTGAGAATTGTTATTGTTGTTTTCTGCATAATAAATAATAGGACAGGAAATGAAATGTATAATTAGGTAAATAATATTATTATATAATAATATTAAAGTAATAAACGTACCTTTGTAAGCATCGGTTACAAATTTCGAAGAAAATTGACTTGCATCGGAGGAAGAATTTGAGAATTTATCTATTTTTGTAGGTTAATAAATATTTATCTTATTAAAAAAAATTATGTCATTTAAAAAATACGAAAATAACTATAATAAAAAATTTATATGAAAAACTTACCTTTGTAAATCGAAGTATTAACATTTGTAGTTGTTGAAGATACATGTGTTGAGTTAATACCCAAATTGATATTTTTTGTATTATCTAAATAAAAACTATTTAGTTTTCTAGTATTTTTAGAAGGAAACGAATGCATTGTATGGCTGCAACAATTAAAAAATAAATCAAATTAGTTTATAAATTAATATGCTTAACAGATAAGAATTAAGTATTGATATAATATTTATCCAACAAACAACTGAGTAGAAAATTAAAATTGAATTTAGAAATTATTTTTTTAATAAAATAATATTTCATTAATTTTGATAACTTATGAATTGTAGTGAATTTGTAGTATGTGTAAGTATTTTTTATTAAGGATTGACAAAAAAAATAAAATAAGATTATGTAATTTTTTTAAACTCATTTTTTTAGAATGTTTTTATAAATAAGAAATAATTGAGTCATGTATTATTTTTTAAAAAAAATAAGTAAATTGAAATTTTTATAAATTATTAAATACTAAAAAATCGAAACTTGATGTTTTTTTATATTGTGTAAATGTGAATTTAATTAAAAATATTAAAGTTTATAATTTAAAATGAATCCTTTTAATGAATAATACACACTATGAAATCGGAAACATATTTTGTCCTTACGCAATTGAAGAAATCAAAGTTACAGGATGCGAAGAATAAACCGTAACCCTATCTCTCATTTCAGGAAAAACAGAGAAATCGAAGAGGAATGAATCAAATTTCAGCAAAAAGACTACCTGAGTCTCTTCATAACCATAGATCGGACTACCTATCTCGCTTACTGTTTCGATTATTTGCTGTTCCTGTTTCCGTTAATTCGTTTTTATTGAATGAGATTACAATTTTCTGGATATAATGTGTTTATTGGGTAGATAATAAGTTTATGATTAAAGTGTTATACGATGATACTAATTCAGAAATTGAGTTTTTTTTGTTGTGTGTATACAGATTCTATCATCCCTAATGTACGCCGATGAAAGACGCGATTTCCGTTGTTGCTTAGCATGAATGTAAACCATTCAAAAGCTCGATTCGATTGCTATGGGTTAGTGTTCTTTCCCTTTTTCAATTTCAATCGGTGGTAACGTAAACCCTAGAATATTAAATTCCATACGACTATGTTCTTCTTTCTGAAATTGATATCTTCATTCTCTTGTGTTGGAATAAAGGGGTTTATTTTATTACAGAGGAATTTGTTGCTCAAATTTTATTCTATATAAGTTCATAAACGTTTTCTGTAGAGTATTTGAATTGACAAAGTATTTAACAACTTCAACTACTTATGTTCATTCGGGGATAATCAGCTGCAAGTATAACAAAAATGGGTTGATGTGGTTGTTTTGTGTTTTCATTTGCAAACAAAATCAGAGGCCAGGGATAGAGTTCGAAAATAAGAAGATAGCAGGTCTTATTAAATGAAGAGGTGGAAGAAATAGATGAGGTAAAAAATGACAACATGACAGATAATGAAGAAGTTATAAACATTGGTAAAACCTTTCAACATATTATGTAGGTAATTGTCATTTTTGTTTTATTAAACCTACAATCTACATAATAATATATTTATTTTGGCAATTACTTATATATTAATTTCTATTCATTAAAGTTACATGTTCTAAAGAAAACATTCAAGTTTACAGTGTGTCAATTACAATTTTTCATTAAACCGTTGGTTATAATATTGAGTTGAAAGACTTTCTGCATATTCAAATGTTTCTTAAAAACTAGACTTATCATGTTTTAAATGGAAAGGGTTCGACATGTTTCATAAAAAATTAAAAACAAAAACCCAAGGTACCATTAGTCAAAGCATTAAGTCATTGTTAAGCAAATTCCGAAAGACACTTTTATTTTTAAAGTGGTCACTGAAATCTTAACAAATAAATGATCCGTGTGTAAAAAAGTAGCCATATAACCTTTAAAATCAGTTGAATATGCTTTATAAAATATTATTTAAAAAGATAAATCTGACAAATGCAAAGGGATAGGAGGGCTTTCTGTTTGCTGCATTTAATTTTATTTGGGCAAAATTGTAATAGTATTCCATTCTGGTTTTTGTTTGTGTATATTCAGATAATCATTTGTCGAATGGATTTCAACATTAAATCTTAGAAGTAACAAAATAGCCTTTTTTTATTAAAATGGCAACTTGTATATTGGTATTGAATGTTAAATGAGAGCAATTGAATGCAAAATATCAAAAGTAGAACGCTAATATGCGTAGATTCTGAAACTGTAATGGTTTGAAACATAAGTGTAAGAAAAGAAATATGTTATTTGTCAGGAAACTCATGAAAAAAACGATCATGGAGTGTATGTTAAATAATAGTAGTTGAGGGTTATTGTATAAAATAAAGGGTGTTTGTTTTTATACATCAGTTGTACTAAAAGAAAATACAGAAACTGATGAAAAGAATACTACCAATTAGTCTGAAAAAACTTACCTGATATGTGATTATGGATGTTTTGCAGGATTAACAGGAGGAAGAATTCAATGGTAGTTGATGTGTGAACCGAATAGATGAATAGAAAGTTTACGAAGCAGATTGAAGTAACAAAGGCGATATAAGTATCGCAGATGCTTTTGAAAGACGAAGAAGACAGAATCTGGAATTTAAAGAAGATGTATTTCACGTATAGAGGTATATTTATACATATAAAAGTTATTATTTTAATATTTTCAGAATTTAACTCCGGATTTTATGCATATATTGTTATTTAAATTGTATTGGATATTTTTTTGTACCTGATTTTATGGGATTTAATAGACTCTGGATCAATTCAAAATAAATATAGGATTTGCATTTAATAAGGGATTACATAAAATCACAAATAAATGTGTTATACGGACGAAATTAAAAAATTATTTATGGTATTGATATATTTGACTTGAACATGTAGTGTATAGTTTATTTTATTAACAGATTTTTGCATATTTTTTGAAAATCAATTTATTTATTCAAATTTTATTAATGCATCTTTTTGTTACATATTTTTCGGGACTGTATGTATGAATTACATGAAAGGACTTGAAGATGGAGATGAAGAAAAGAAGCGGGAAAAAACAAATTTGGGGGTCTGGGAGATTGACACGTGGCACTCTTCTACTTATTTTCTTCAGCTGCGACTCTAATGGAGGTAATGCCATCTGGTTTGCATATATTTTTTTTAGAATAAATTTAATAATACTTGGGAGTATCATTTGTCATTTGCAACATGCCTGACCTTAAGCTTATTATCCATGGTTAGAAAATTTAATTTCTCTTCGGCTTTATTAGTTTGATAAATTGTATATACAAATGAAGTAAAATTTATTCTCCAGGTTTTAATCTAGAAACATTAATAAAAGTTTATTGTCCAGATTTTAATGTAGAAACAATATTTTAAATTTGAAATCGTAATAAGTAATAAAAAAATTGAAAAAAAAGTTATTATTTTTAAAAAATTTAAGTTATATCAACAACTGTTTTATGTTGGTTTAAAATGAATATATCAATGGACTCGAATTAACATTGTTATAAATATTTTTTGGTAATATATTTTTTTTAGTATAATTTTAATAATACTTGGGAGTATCATTTGTCATTTGCAACATGCCTGACCTTAAGCTTATTATCCATGGTTAGAAAATTTGATTACTTGACTTTGACATTAAAAGTAAAACAGTAAGTAAGTATAAAGTTTAGTCTCAATTAGAATGGATTTAACGAACATGTAACACAGAAGAACATGTACAATTTGTTACAAATTCACATTCAAAAAAAAAAATCAGCAATGTAATATAATTCGAAAAGAAGAGATAGACCAACCTTTGCAGATTTGCTGCAGTAAGAACAATTTTCCCATAAAAAAAGTAAGTAAAACTTGGTTGAAGAAAAATAGGAGAGTGTGAATGAGGAACACAAATAAAGACCAGTTGGAATTGATATTTCATCTAATTCATCTTGGACGACACCTTTTCATGAACATGTCATACATATTTACACTTTTCTGTCCATCTAATGCAAATATGTAATAACAGTAATGTAGTCTTTCAAGATTTTGTAATGAAAGGTGCATCAGGTCATGTAGCTACCTGCTAGCTGGTGTTTCATAAACTGTTTATATAGAAACACATTGAGTTTGAGATTTAATCAACATAGTTATAATAATATTTCATTGAAATCATCCAAAAAATACATTCCAACGATGATAGTAATAATAAAAAATAAAAAAAAAACCAAAATGAAATAAATTTAAATGAACCATTGTCTTAAAATTTGTCCCATAACAAACTTATTTCGACCAATCATTGTACCAAATAACTAAAACAACTTTAAAAACCAAAGCAACCCATCTCAAAAATTATAATTTGTTTCTGAAAACATAAAACAACTCACTTTTCCACTTTAGGAACTAAAAGTGTATTTCCCTCTCCGATTGATTTTCTTTTAGATTTTGTCGAACTCAAATCACCTCCAGAATCAACGTCATAAATGTCATGGAGGTTGCGTTTCAAATCAGTTGGTATTTTCAGCGGACTGGTTGCTGGTTGCAGATGATTTATCAACTGTTGATGGAGTAAAACTCTCATCTGTTTGTGATATGACATCCTAAATTAAAAAAAAAATAAGCTGTCATTTGGAATATATATCAATATTAATGAAAGCTAATATGGGAATATAAAATACCTTTTGAACATTCTGAACAACATCATCTGATTCGAGGGGTACTTCATTTAAGGACACTGATTTAGTAGTCTAGAAAATAAAATGGACATATACAAAACGTTATGTATATAAATAAAAAAAACAAATATAAAGGGTGATCATTAAAACGTTATTTACCAAAATTTCTAGTTTACTTTCCAAATGGGAAACAATGTCCACATCCTCTGTAATTTTGACAACGCTGTAGATATTATTATAGTTGTTGACGTTGTAGGATGTAATATTTACAAGAAACGCAAATTTGCGGTTTTTCAATACGTTCATTTGGTTTGGAAAAAGTTGCATACTGTCTCCAGCCTGTAAGAAGTCGTTTAATATATTAAAACAAAAAATGTTATTTGATAAAAAAAATTTAGAATAAAATAGTATACCTCTTCGTGTAATTTTTTCAACTCATATGCACTTATATCCAACAATCTTTTTGCTTCCCTATCAAAAAGAGTAAATCCAATGGTGCCGGTATGATCTTGCACGTTGATTGGAATTATATACCTAAACAAAAAAGTATTAGATTAATATTAATTTTGTTGAAATAGTGAAAAGATTAATTAATATTAATATAAGTAGATATGTGTTTACTTTATGAAATTCCACATCTTTAAAACCCGTAGTTTGAGATGTGAATCATCAGCCAAACTTTCAATGTCTTTTAGGTATACTTTATTACCTATGTTCATTTCCTACAAATAATTGATAGCATAAGAAATAAAAAAAAATAAGAAAATAGCAACATATTATAAAAGTAAAACAGAAACTGTTTAAACCATATACACACAATAAAAAATTAAATCAATTATGTTGAACATAGCAATAGGAAATTTGCAAATTTAATTAATAGCATAAGAAATAAGAAATAAGAAGATAGCAATATATTATAATATCAAATAAGAAACTGATTAAACTGTTTTAACCATATTATAATTACACATCTTTACAATTCTGTTGTTTATCAATAGTGTTTTTTATCTACATACACTAACATTTTGATATCCATATTATAACTGCATTTGAAACTTTATTGATATATGATTTTATATACATACGGTAACAGATACATACACAAAGAAATCAATAAAAAGAGCGGTGAAGATGAATGAAACAAATACATTAAAAAAAATGAGACAGCTTAGTGAACTGAATAGGTAGATACAGTAACAGTTACATACAAAGCTTTATATTACGATTACGAAGCCTTCAAATTGATAAAAAAAAACAGATACTCAATTATAATATCAAAGAAGAAACTGATTAAACTGTTTTAACCATATTATAATTACACATCTTTACAATTCTGTTGTTTATCAATAGTGTTTTTTATCTACATACACTAACATTTTGATATCCATGTTATAACTGCATTTGAAACTTTATTGATATATGATTTTATCATGTTAAATCATGTTTATCATTTGTTTAAATTATCATTTGTTTATCCTGTTTAATTTAAAAACACTAACCTGATATGTGAATTCTGAAATCTTGTAGGAAGAGTTATATGTGGAATATTCACAGATGCAATTGAAAGTCACAGAACATGATTAAGGGATTTTAAAAACATGGAGTACACGTTTTGAGGTAATATTTATATACACAGATACCTTTTGGTTAGTTTTGTCTTTTAATGTTTTCATAATCCTTTCAAAACGAATAACAGTAGAGTGTATTGATTAAAAAAAATAAAAAAGTTTCAGACACAAACATGTACATATATACATACGGTAACAGATACATACACAAAGAAATCAATAAAAAGAGCAGTGAAGATGAATGAAACAGATACATTAAAAAAAATGAGACAGCTTAGTGAACTGAATAGGTAGATACAGTAACAGTTACATACAAAGCTTGATATTACGATTATGAAGCCTTCAAACTGATAAAAAAAACAGATACATACACAAAGAAATTGATAAAAAACAACAGTAGAAGGAATCATCAGATGAATGAAATAGTTACCTTAAAGAAAAACAGAAGACGAATTGAGATGGTTTCCTGCAATTGATATCTCTTTTGCTCTGGAAATTGGAATCGCTGTGAATGAAGAAACCGTGATATTGTATTTAAAAAACAAAGATTAGGTAAGTTACGGTATTTAAGGAATTGATAAGCATTTACCTTTTGACAGATTCAATTATCGTATTTAATCAAATTATGATTATTTACCTTCCTTTTTTTATTTCAAATGCAGGAAACGGACGTCCTTAATGAAGGGTAGAACCGAAACTTCACTTTGTGTAAAATAGTGGGAAAATTCGATGGGGGGGAAGGCTCTATGTACAAAATCTACCTATTTATTAGAATAGGGGATTAAATTGAGAAGGGTTGGTTATGCGCAAAGGAGGAAAATCTAAGTGCTGATTATGTAATATGGAAATTAAATCACATTAATTAGGCCATATGAAACCTAGCTTCAAGCCTTTTGCATTACACCGATTAAAGGCCTCGTCCGTTTCTTTTTTCACTTTGGCCTATCATCCTTTTTCTCAATCTCTTCTAGTTAGTAGTACCTACCGGATGAATTACTTCCCTTAAAGGCCTACCTTCCTTGGCACATAGATTAGCATTATTCCCAGTCGATCTCCCCCCGGTATCCATTAAAAAGCGTTATTAAACACTTTACGCATAAAAGAGCTAGTCCATCTTATTCTTGGGTTTTTCCTGTTATGTGTGATCAGAAAAAAAAAACGATCGGCCCTTCCCTTGTTTATGAAGACGTGCGACGCAACAGCAAGGGAAAAAAAAATCGATCGAGACTTATTGTTGCGTTTGGAGCATCGTCGATTGAAGGCCAAGAAGAAATAACGTTCGGCAATATCGACTCATTTGGTGTGTGCATCGATTGGGAACAAAAAAAAAAAGAAAGAAACCGATTGCCTTGAGTATACTAGCGACTCAAGGAGGGGGAAGAAAAACAAAAAGATTGGCTTGGGGGTGGGACTGCAACGAATCGAGAGGGAGGAGAAGGTGTAAGAGGCTATGAAAATTGGATCAATTGTTGGTAAAAATCTTCTATCCTTTTTCTTGTCAAGTTTATATTCCAATTGATTGTCCATTGGATGAGTTTTGGTGTTGAATTCTTCCTTATTTGTTGTTATGGATCATTTTTTCTTTTACCTTGAAGTTCTTCAATGTTCTATTGGCTAATTCCATTCTCATTGAGTGTGTTTTGATGATGAACACACTCAAGAATGATTCTTACATCTCCTTGAAGTTACTCCTTTGTTGATCGTCAAAACTCATGCTATTGTTATCTTTTATTCAAGTGAGAATTTTTGGTGAATGACTATGTGTTGGACCCTCCAAAAGGTCATCAAAATAGTTTTCAAGTGTATTCATATACGGTGATTTGGTAGGGAAATTCAAATCCAAGATGGTATTTCTCTTTCTAACATCATATGTTGTCTTTCCTTTAAAGACAATGTACCTTGGACCATGGTCGGAAGATGAAACTATCTTTTTACTTCCGTGATATATTGCTACTGATTTGGAGTTGTTTTTAAGCTTTTTGGTTGGTTTGGGTGATGGCTTAATGGATTAAGTGGTCAAAAAGTCTTTAAAACCCAAAGCTGGAGATTGCAAGAAATTGTCGAATCTGCCCTTATATTGGAAAAATTATAGAAAAATCACCAGGAGTGATCCGTAAATTCTCAAAGTTTTCACTTTGAGTCTAGTTTGTCCGTGAATTTTTCCAGGTCCTTTTGTTGCCTCCAACTTAGGCGAAAATCGCCTTTTTCACCGGCTGGTCAGAATTTGGCTGCATTGATAGGCAATTTTGTAAAAATAATATAAAATTATAGAAAAATCGTTTGGACCTTTAAAAATACTTTCTGAAAAGCTACAAATCTGAACTTCTGGAATATGAAATAAAAATAGAAATTTTACAGGTCCCAAGGGTAATATAACAGCTCTAAACATGTGGCTGTTTTGGGTCCAAAACTGGGAACTTTGCTTGATAGTTGATTTATGTGTTTGGGTTATGGATTTGCCTTCTTTGGCATTATAGAACTCCAATAAACTTTTGTTTGTATTGTAATAGGGGCAATGGTGATACTTCAACCTTTACAAGACTTGAAGTGAGAGTTGGTCACATATTTGGTAAAGGTGAGTCAACTTTGTGGTTTTAAAAGTACATTGTTAGGTGTATCCCTTATCTTAGATGGAATGGGATGAACCTAGTTATCTAGGATGTATGTGCCCTTTTGATGATTGAGTATTGTGCCATTAATGTTGAAATACCTTATATGCAACTGTATCTAGGATGTTGCATGCTAGACTCCTCTTTGTTTGATGTGAGATGTGAGCTTAGATCTTACTAGATTGAGTGATGTGTATGAACACTATGTGATGTGAGCATGTTAATTATTGTTTGAAAATATTTGTTAAAAATGTTTTAGGACAAGCATGCTAGTGTTGTATTATTTTTATAGAAGTGTTGTGAATGAAAGTAGTGTGTGATGTAAAACGTAATAACTTTATAAACTTACATGTTTGCATGGAATGAACGCTTAAAGAGGTAATGTGTTGGCTCCACGAGGAAAGCCAATTAGGGTTAGCTCCTCGGGGTAGCCAACTAAGGTTGGCTCTACGAGGAAAGCCAATAGGTGTTGGCTCTATGAGGATAGTCAAGTAGTGTCGGCTCAACGAGGATAGCCGGTTAGGGCTGACTCTACGAGGAAAGTCAATTAATGTTGGCTCTACGATGAAAGCCAGTCGGATGGTTATTCTAGGCGACCAATCTGACACATGGTTCACCTAAAGATAGGTGAACTGGAGTGATGTTGGTAAAGCGGTAGGACCGACACAAACATCACGTGCGAATTGGGAGGTGTAACTTGTTGGAATTGGCACCGCTCGTACCAATCATTAACGACAACGCATGTATACGTATGTGCAAAGTCGGAGTAACGAACACAACACACCGGAAGCAATGATTACGGGTGAGAGTCGCGCCTCACTAAGTGCATTGGGTCGTGCCAGTCACGATAGTAGCGAACGGGGTCTTTCTTTGGGGGTTTTGCGGTGAATAAATAAACCTTAACTAAGAGGTATTACTTTAGTAATTACAACGATGGTGAGCGGTGAGTAATTATTAATGTAAAGCGAAGAAACAAAATATTATATATTAATATTTAAGCGGCGAATCGATAAGATAAAATTCGTTACAACAGCATTGAGGAGAGTAACTAATAAAAGAAACTCTAAAAGAAGAACTAAAATAAATTGAGCTAAAGCAGTGTTTGTTATGTGGTGTGATGTTGTATGTCTTGCTAGTGAGTTTTTGACTGTATGTGGATGTTTTGTGTGAATCCATCTATGATATGTGTGTTCTCTTAACACTGTACTATATTGACTCACTTAGCTTATGCTAACACTTGTTCTTTGCTTGTTGGTTTTTGTGCATTGGAACATGTAGCTTGGCATGATGCCCTGGTGAGGATGGGAACCATTAAGTAGTTTAATTTAGTATCTTTAGTTATGATATCATTTAGACATGTTGCGTTTTCATTCATATGTTTTTGTGAACTTTAAATTGTGATGGGTTTGTTTTGACATGAAAGTAACATTGGTAATATTTTTGAAATAATCATAATAAGTCTTCCGCAGCGTATTCTGTTAAATAAATGTTTTTAAAATAAAATAAAAAATTGGGTGAAAAAAACGAAGAAGTTATGACTTTCGGAAGTTTGGTAGGTTTAAGGCTTAAGCCTATTACGCTGGGCGTACATAGGAGTACGTTGGGCGTACTAGGCAAGTTGATCGTGGATGCCTTATGGAGTATGATGGGCGTACTCCAGCCTCATGCAAACCCTAATTTAGGGTCTTGGACCCTATTTAACGATCGTAACTCAACTCCAATCCCTCTTATCTTCAGCCTCCATCCCATTAAACCCTAGATTCGGAACCCTACCTTTCTTTTGAGTGTTTTTGAGGTTTTTGGTGTGATTTTGGTGTGCCTTGGAGAATAAGGAGTTCTTGTTGGATGCATTGCTTGGCTTGGAGCTTGTGTATCCAATCTCTAATCATCTTCATCAACTTCCAGGGGGTATAAAGTTTCTAACTTGATGACTCTAGGTGTTAGATCTAGTCTAGGGTATGTTTTGGGTTCATTTTTGGTCTTTAGGGTCATCCTTGTGAGTATGAGCTACTCAAAGAGCTTAGAATGTTGGATCTTTGCACTTCTGAGGTTGTGGGTGCATAAAAATGTCATCTTGATGGGTTTGAGTGAGTTATGACTAAGTGGGTGCTCATATTATGGGTTTATGAGGATAAAAACAAAATTTGGGTCCCATTAAGGCATGCAAGGGAGTAAAGTTGGCAACTTTATGGTTTAAGATCTTATCTAGGGATCAGATCTGTGTTTAGACGACTTGACTTAACCCAATAAGAGCTTAATATGGATTTTTGGACCTCTGATGAGTACGTTGGGCGTACGTAGGAGTACGCTCAGTGTAATGCTTGTATCATGCATCGACTGCTTGTGTGTGGTGCTTCGGGGGTGAGTACGCGGGGCGTACGTTTCTGGTACGCAGGGCGTACTCCCCAGGGTGTATATTTTGGGCCTTTTAGGGTTTGGGCCTTGTTGGGCCATTGGACTTCTGACTTTGGGCCATGGATGGACTGTGGGCCTTCTTGTAATTAGGTCCATGATGGTTTTTGGGCCAATTAGGAAGTTGGGCCATATTGGGCCTTGAGATGCCATTTAGAAAACTGGGCTTTTTGAGCAAATAGGTTGGGCCCTAGTTTTGGGCCAAGTAAGAAAAAGGTAAAATGGTCTTTTGGGTAATGCTCCCTCAGCTCCTCTCAGGCTCCTACGTCCACTCTGAACCTTTCCGGTGCTACCATTACACATTCACCAAGTTCACCACCTTGTTTCTCAAGGTCTTGGTCTTCCTATCAAGGATTGGTCTCTCTATATAGTTTAGGCGCTTGTCCACCTGAATATCCGCCAATGGCACCACTACGAAATCATCGACCAAACATATCCGCAATTGAGAGACGTGAAAAGTATTGTGAATCTAACTGATCTCCTCCGGTAGCTCCAAATGGTATGCAACCCTGCCCACCCGAGAAATAACCCTATAAGGACAAATATATCTGGGACCCAACTTGCCCCGCTTCCTAAATCGGATGAAGCCTTTCCTAGGTAGCACCTTTAGAAGTACCATTACCCCGACCTAAAACTCCAAATCCGATCAGCGCCTATCGGTATAACTCTTTTGTCGACTTTGTGCGGTCTGCAATCTCCCTCGCACCTACTGTATCAACCCGGTAGTCTGGATCACCACCTCCGTGCTACCCATGACTCGCTAACCAACCTCGCCCCAAAAAATTGGGGTCCGACACTTCCTCCTATTGAGCATCTCAAAAGAAGGTCGGTCAATACTGGTGCGGTAGCTGTCTCCAGACACTGCTTATTCACCAACTTGATGTGAATAATGCATTTCTTCATGGTCATCTTCATGAGACTGTTTACATGAACCATCCTCCAGGCTTTTGGGATCCTCAACATCTGGATCATGTATGCCACCTCCAGCAATCCCTCTATGATCTCAAATAGGCTCCCCAAGCATGTTTTCATCGGTTTGCTTAGTATGTTCGCCACATAGGTTTTCATAACAATCTCACCGATTCTTCCCTATTTGATTATCATCATGGAGCTGATACTGCCTATCTCTTATTGTATGTTGATGATATTGTATTGACTACATCTTTTGCCGATGTCTGACCTTGGCCCTCTCAACTATTTCCTTGGGTTTTTTTAGCTTCAAATAAATTACCCATACATATTATGTGTATGTAAATATCTACACAGCTTTTGCATATGTGTGGGTAATTAAAAATAGCAAATTTTCATAACAGATAACACTTAATGTGGGTAGATAATATCTTACAGTAACATTTAATGTGGAGGGAATTTTCCCTCCAAAATTTGTGATTCGCATAATATGAAATTACCAGACACATGTTGAAAATTTTCTTTGTGTTGGTAATATGCGTACACACACATACACACACGCACACACACACACACATATATATATATATATATATATATATATATATATATATATATATATATATTATACCTTATAAAACATATTTGGTCAAATGCTGAATTTTAAGTCGTACAAGCCGTTATGCAATATGTATAATAACTTTATGCATCCAATCTTGTTTGGTCAACATACGTATGACTTTTATGGCTTTTGACCAAATCTCATTCCCTGTTCCGTCCAATGACCTCCCCACTATTTCGGCCTTTCTTCAGTCTTATAATGCTATACCTCTGGCCATTTATATAATACCTCTGCTCTTCTCCATTCACCGTCTACGCCATTACCTCCGCCACCACTCACCTCTTTCTCCATAACCAGTGACCAACACCACCGCACACGATAAACTGAAGAGACTCATACCCATGCTCAACAATTGCCCATTACAAATTACATATTTATGTGTTTACATTCTCCAATTTCTTTGTGTGATTTCTCTCTCTCTCTCTCTCTAAGCTTGATGTGTGTATCTTTGATTCTATGTAGGTTTGCTGGTTCATATTAACATAATGTTTATGGAAGTGGTGGTGGTGGTTGTTGAAACAATGACATCGCTTCCCTTACTGTTAGGTAGTACCTGGTAAGAGCCCTAACATGATTTATATTTTATAGCCCTAAGTTGATATATTTTTTTTTTTGAGTTTCCTTTGGATTTTGGGTTCTTGCACTTTCAATTTTCTGTATTGGCTGAAGACACCACTCTCTCTCTCTCTCTCTCTCTCTCTCTCCATGAAAACCCTAGCTTAGAGCTTCCAGAGCTTCCCTGTTCCCTAACCATGAATGTTTTGAGCCAGCAACAATCCTCCTCCATCTCTCTTTGTAAATATAAAAAACCCTAAGCGCCACCACCACAGTTAAATAAACAAATAATGATGTTGATGATCACAGTCTCAATGAAAAGGTAATGTTGTTTTTTCATTTCCGCAATTAAGTAAACAAACAACGATGTTAGGTTTCAATAGGAAACTTGAAGGACTGTATTGCCAAATAGAACCATCTGGTATGCTTTTTCATATTGTTCTTCCAAAATAGTTTCCTGAAGAATGCCCATATTGGTATGATTCTTTCACTTTGTTCTTTAATCATTTATTCTCTTTTCTTTTGAAATACCATTTATCTTTGTTCTTTTGATTCCCAAGTTGAAATTTTTATGTTTCCAAGGTTAACATCATAGTTCACAATTTCAAACTATTTGGTTTTGGGAAGAAATGATTCCTCAAATTTGAATTTTAAGAGAAGATTGAATATTTGATCTTATGTAGCATCTTCATATCTAGATCTTGGAAAATAAACCCACGGACTCCACTACAGAGGAGTCACAACAAGATAAGATTTTTTTTCTCTCCTTAACATTTTTCAGGTAAATTGTATTATTTACTGAAATTTATACAGTTTATTACATCACTTTTTAGTAATTGAAAATGATATTTTTCCATGAAAGGAGATGTTAATCAGGTGGAGGTGGTGGTAGCTTCAGCCTTCAAGTAATAAAATTTAGACATTGGGTTTGTTCTTTATCTTTCCATTACCTTTCTAATAGTATCCGATATATATATATATATATATATATATATATATATATATATATATATATATGTTTGATCTTGTAGATCAAAATATGCATTTACCAGTTCTTACTAGAACACTATTGGCTTATTTTGCAGGTTGTCATATACTCAACATTGCTAAATGATGGAGAGTATGACTGGCCTACAATATGTGAGTACGCCATTTCTCCTTGAACATGATAACGTTTTTGTTAAGATTGGTGTTGTTATGGCCTTTGTTTTCATCTATTGTAGGATTGGGTGTTGGTATCTTTAATGGTACAATTATAAATGTATTTACCCATAGTAACACCTATTCTGTTCTTCCTTCTATAACTCGAATTTTATTTAAACGTTTTTGGTTTTTTATCTTTTTTGGTCATTGTTGTGATTTCTTTTTCATATTATGAAGTATGTATTGATTATTAGATGAAGTCCTTTATACAATCTTTATCAGATTCTGCAATAAAGAAGCTAATGAAAGACTATGACTATTTGTTAAATTTTTGTTTTATATCAATGTAGTTAGTATTATATAATTCATTAAGTTGTTTATTGTTAATTTATATATTATATGTTAATGACTTGATCATTAGTTATTTCTTTTTAAATGGATAAATGAAATAGGTGACTTGTGAAATTGTTTATTTATTTATTTATTATTTTTTTTTAAAAAAAAGTAAGGTCGGCCATGAGTAATGGGTATCCATCAAAAAAAGTAACAACAAAAATTAAATCTAATTGTAATATTAATTATGAATTTGAGGTCTAAATCATCTTCTTTGAATAACAACAGTAGATTTAAGGGTTAAGTTAATTTGCTTGCAAGAAAATTAAATAAAGTGTAATCATTGCTTTTTTGCTATTTTTTGGTTGTATTCCATGACAAAAATCTATTATTTCTCTCCCACGTAAATAAGTAGTAAAAAAGACTTTGAGTTGTCCTTCTTGATTGAGATGTATTTTTTTTTCTAAAAACAATCCTAATTAACCTAAAAATATCAAAATATAAACTATGACGGAAAAAACATTTATAAAAAACGATAACCTAAATCTTCATTCAGGTAAATATAGATATAAACAACAAGAAAGTGAAAAGTAAAAATAAAAAAACAACATGATAATTTTAAAATATTAAAAATGAGCGATTTTTGAACACTAAACCTTAAACTTTAAGTGAAAAACACTAATCCATAAATATGAAACATGAAATATATATTTCAAAAGAAATTATTCGCCGTAGTCTACATGTTCTTTTGTAATTTACATGTTTAAACACAACCATTCATCAAAAGAGTTAACCGACATGTTTTTAACACCTACCAAACAAAACAACTCACTCTCCCTTTAAAATTCCGCTTAATCTTGAAAATAACTTATTTTACAAGATTACAAGACAAAGTGATTCTGCTCAACTACTTCAGACTGCAAATGTAATCATGTGGGACAAAGCGTCGATGACTAAAAGACATGCATTGTGAAAGATATCATTGGGGCAAGACTCCCGTTTGGTGGAAAGATAATGGTTTTGGGAGGTGATTTCAGACAAGTGTTGTCGATCGTGAGAGATGGAACACGAGCATAGACTGTGGATTCCATCATACGAACAATTCAACAATAGTGAAGTCAATACATCAAATGTGGTGCATAAAAAATGTTGCACGATTAATAATGCACAATCAATCATCTCTTCATGTACATTTCTAAACAATCCTAACTTTTTGTTTTTAATTCTTATTAATTTCTTTTCTGCTATCATGACTCCTATTAATAATTGTTTAGATATCGCAAAACATTTGTGCAAAAAAACACTAATCCCCTCTATGAACTAATTTCTTAAAAAAAATATTCGCACCCGACGTTTTGGCACGGGTAAACGGCTAGTTTATATATATATATATATATATATATATATATATATATATATATATATATATATATATATAGAGAGAGAGAGAGAGAGAGAGAGAGAGAGAGAGAGAGGGAGAGAGATTAAAGTGTTGTTTGTTTTTTGTCTGCAGATCTTTTTGGCCTATTCTGTCTGCGCGGCGTAGACGACGCACAGACATTTAAGCTTCGCAGACTGTTTGTTTTTTTGAAGACTGCAGACCTAAAAAAGTCTGCACGTCTTCTTCTTGGCGCAGATGTGGACCAAAGTTTTCGAACATCTTCAGACATCTTCTAGTATAAAAAAACACATATATCTTTGGTTTTTCTTTAACTTAGATTTATTACAACTTTATCTATTATAAACCATTTTTAATAAAAAAAAACTACAATACTAAAAGAAAAAAGATTCGGTGACAGAATAATGACATTTGTGATAAATTTATAAATAAAGATTTAATTACAATAAGGTCATTGAAGTTGTTTATATATACATGAAAAAAAATCTTAATATTATCTTATAGTTTTTGTGTCAAATTTTATAAAACATTATTTAATACAATATCATTCATTTCTTGGGAAAAATATTTGTGCTCAGTTTTTAATTGATTTAATTGAAAAGTAAAATGAAAATTTTGAAAAATTTCATTTAAATTCAAAGTTTATTTCTATCCAATTTATGTGTTAAATATTTTATCTATAATTACAATGTTTAGGTATAACTTTACGACTAAAGTTTGTTGGTTTATCATATATATATATATATATATATATATATATATATATATATATATATATGTTAATCCATACCATTTTTTTTTTCACTTTTATACAATAAGACATAAAAGTTGATCTACAATTGCTAATTATCTATAATAAAGTCATAAAATTATTGAAAAAACTCTTTTAAGTTTTTTTTTAAATAAGTTTAATCAGATTTTAGTTTATTCTAACTGTTTGCAGATGTTAAAAAACAAACAATTTTTTTATTTCAGACTGCAGACGTTTGGTCCACATCTTCTACTGCAGAGGTTTGCAGATATAGTCCGCAAACTGCAAATATTTTGCCTCAGAAAAAACAAACAACACCTAAATAAATATGTGGATGATTCATCTGGTTTTACCAACACATAATTTTAGTTCACACATGTGTACATGACTAAATTAACTAATAATAATAATTGATATTTTATAAATGACATGACAAAGTAATACGTACACATGTTTCTTTTATGTGTAGATAATTTACTTTTATATATATATATATATATATATATATATATATATATATATATATATATATATATATATATTAAATAGATGTGTGAGTAGTTCATTAAGTTTTATCAACATGTAATATCAATATATTTATGTGTAGGTAAATATATTAGAAAATTATTATTATTATTTCATAAATAACGTGGCAAATAAATTAACCATGCATATTTGGAAATGAAATATGTGTAGGTATAAATTTATGTACACTTACCCAAAATAGTCATCAAAAACATGTGTTGATATATAGTAATTTCTACTAATACATAATATATATATATATATATATATATATATATATATATATATATATATATATATATATAACTTTTATTAATAAATGTGTTATAATAGTTATTAATGAATGTGTTGGTAGAAGTATTTTAATTTTTTAAAATGATAAGGAATTTCAGATATATAAGTACGTTGAATTTGATTGTATATGCGGTGAATTTGTTAATTATTCATACAATAAAATCACAAAACTCTTATCTACAGTATCTGGTTTAGAGCCGGCTCCAATACCAGATGGTTTGGAGCCGATGACTTAGCACTGACACAAACAACAAGTCTTCCGTCTGTGTGTTGTGTGTCTTCCTGTTTGCCGTATGTTCCTCCACCGCCTCGCTTATCACATACTAATGATTCCATGCCTTAAATTGAATCTCTCATTTTCTTCAGCTCTGTTTCTCGGTCGTTCTACACTGACACCGCCCCCACTATAACGACCATCGCCACCGGCGCAAAGGCTTTTAGGTATCGGCTATTTCATGTACAGAGCAAAGGGATCACGCGGCGATACCCATGAGCAACTAGTGTTATACCGGACAGGTTGACAAATGTTAAAACGATGGATTTTATTTTCTTCTAGAGCATCCTTCTTTCATTTCTTCCCATATTAGCAATTTACAAAATTTTTCCATCCTTTGAAAATAATCAAGAACTCTGCTGAAATTCAAATCACCTGAAGGTTTTGCCTACAACCAAGGATCTAGTAGGTTAATAAGCTTATTGCCTATACTTTAGCCGTAATTTCATCATACATTAATTTATGTATAAATAATAGAAGTATGGAATTACTAATGGATTGAATGGTTTTGCGGTTGTTTCCCTAGGAACATCAATAGAGCCTAGGAAAGAAGAAAGCCACCAAAAAAGGTATAACTTCATTAGTTTCGCTGATTGTGGTTTGTCGATTGCTCTTCAAACGGAAGAACATCACTCGTTTTCTGGTCCATGATTCGATGAAGCAATAGAACCGATTAACAAAATTACTTCAAAGAGTACTCTTATATAGGCCTCAGTAGGCTGATTTGTAGGACTAATGGGTCGATAACTGTAAGAACGTGGAAGCAATCGAAGCAGAAGTTACATAACTGCGAACGTGGGGAAGAAGAAGAAGGAACGTGCGAAGGAAGACGGCTGTAACCTCCGATTAACCGTAAATACTGAGTTATTACTGTCGGGATCAAAAGTTGAAGGAGTTTTAAGGGCCAGGATCATTTGAGCGGTTTTTCTACTCACCTCGTCAATAGTATTAATAATTAATAATTTCGTTTGCTACTCTAGGAGCCAGGTGTGAAAACTCCCACCTTCCGAAATCGAACCTTTAATTTACGTGTTCTTCTGATTCTGATTTTGATTAGGGTTCAATCTCTTTCATTTATGAAGAACTACTTATCGAAGAGCAAACCCATTGTTACAACGGTTCTCATGAACGATCGGAGAGCTTCTAAAGATTAGGCTTTTGATGATGGTAGACCTAATCTTCAGTTTATCTCTTCCAATTTCGGTAATTCCAAACTTTAGGTGCCTTAATTTCTCACCAAGCATAAGTTTAAATTCTAAAATTAAAAGAACTTGTGTTTCCTTCTTCTATTTATGTTTCCAAGTCGAATTCCTAATCTATAGAACTGGAGTTGACCTTTTTTTGGATTTCACGTTGTAATTCATACGTTGTTGGCTATTGGTAAAAAGATCACATGTTGATCCCTTTTGATTTCAGAGTTCTTACCGGTTAATTGCACTTTGTTGTAGGTTTATAAAAAATCAATCTAAAATATAATTTTGTTTGTTCTTGGTTTAGATGGCATCCACAGTTGAGTATGACGATGAAGTTTATGTCGAGCTCCTGTAAGTTTATAATGCCATACTTTGTCTTGCTTAAAATCATTGTGTTAGCAAGTTCTTTGTGATACACTACATCTTACATGGCTAAAAAACAGTTGTTTTAACTAATTTTGTTAGACATATTTTTAATAATCACATAGCTGTTATAATGTAGGCATTTTTTCATATGAGCTTCGCATCCACTATATAATTGAAATTACAATTTGTTTTGTGATATTGTAAATATCTATAGCCATGGGATGGTTAACTGCTTAGATTTTGGGAATGTGGAATGCTAGCTTTCAAATATTCTAGGGTAAATTACACACTTGGTCCCTATGTTTTACACAAAATCGCAAGTCCAAACTTTAAAAATGCTGCATTATCATCCTTAAATTTGTATTTTGTTGCGGTTTTGGTCCTTCTAATTTATTCAAAATTCCAAGTTTTATCTAAAATTTGAATTGATATTAGATAAGACAAGTATTATAACTACAATGAAATGCAAACCTAACTACAATGAAATGCAAACCTAAGGACAACATCGAAAGTATGTGAAAGTTGGACTAAACTTATGATTTTCAGTAAAGTAAAAGGACCAAATTTGTCATTTATGCTAACTCATATTTTACTTTTCCATGTTCTTTTTTACAAAAGTGGTTGTTGTCATAATTTTATTGTTACTTCATTGTTTATATAACAATTAAGTCTTTTTTTGTCACAACCTGGTCTAGCTTTTACATAATTCTGTCTTATCTTTGACCAGAGGTTGACTTCAATATCAAGCACCTTATAGTTGGGGAAAAGTTTTCAATATCATAGGGATGAGTATCTCTCAAATGTGGTTTTATTAATCTCATTCAAACAATTTATTCAGTGTAAAACAATAGCTTTATAAAGGTACAAGCTACTATATTATTTCTGCTCCTGAAATGGTTCTATGTATTTTTTTTTTTAAATTCTGATTTTCTTTGTTGGTTCTTTTGTTCTTATTGTTCTTTATAATCCAGAAGCATGAAATGTTTATGACATTTTCTTTTAACACAACCATTAAACTTTCTCTATTAATTTTACCTTTTAGATTCATTAATTTGTTTCTCTGTGTGTTTGTGTGTGTTATGTGAAGACTACATGATTGGAATGCACACAAGATCAAAATGAAATAATTTTTGTTCGTGGTGGATGGTATCATTAAGTTCAGAATATCTAAATGTATTTGTTATAGGAAGATACAATATCAATAAACCATAACTGGTTCAATGCCTATAACCTTTCTCTGGTAAGTAATAACCAAATAAACCAAAAACAATTTATTTTTAGATTTATAAACAGTTATTTTTGTCATTCACTTAATATAATTCATGTAGTCGGGTCTTCTTTTTAGAGATTACAATGAAGCTACAAAGCATATTGAAGATATCAAAGACATTTGTGATGATTTTAAGGGACTTTGTCAAAGAAATCTTGCAGCTAATACAGAAGTTTGACTGCTACTTTGATTTATAAATTAGAGAACTATACATTATCTACTATATCCGTCATCTCATGTATTTATTACTTTATGAAATATATATATTTTTTAGTTCAAATGAATACATAATATTTTCTTATTACATAAGTTAATTTACATAGTCCTTTTTCCTAATGTAGTCCAGGCATGAATTTCTATGATTTTTTCAGCTATATGGTACGTTTTTCCTTTGCAAATTATACCCTACAATTACCTTATAACTCCATATGAAATGTCATAAGTGTAATGGTTTACAGGGGTATGATAATCTTGATACATCAAAGAGAGTATTACCCTAATGTGATTACAACAAGAACATATGATGAATGTCTGGAAACCATCAATCATGTTCGTGAACCACATATTAAGGTATTGACTATTGACTATTGACATTTGCTAATTAGGTTGAGTGTTGGATTGTGTTTTAACTTTTTTATCCAATTTTTTGGTTTTTTATTCTGTAAATCATGAATGATAAAGCATTATTTGTGTAATTTAGTGGGATTTAATTTATTGGAATTTAGGTGAACTTCAATGACAGGTATCATGAGTATAGGAAAAGTTTGCTAGGTCCACAAGATCACGTTATTTTGAATGCAATCTTTAACAAAACTCTTGACCCATGCATAGCATGGGTTCCTTTTCTAGTTTTTATTAATTTATAACATGTAGTCAAATAACATAATTTGAATTGTGGAGTATTTTCGTTCTTTTTGAATATGTATAAAAATTGAAGAACAATGGGGGCCAAAGTCAAATTTTATAGTTTTAGACATAATATGTAACTTTTTTAATACATAAGGACTAATTATAAAAAAAATAGGGGGGCCACAGCCCCCTGGCCCTATATAACCTCCGCCACTGGACACCACCACCCCCTTCTCCTCCCTCCCACATCCTCTCCAATCTGCCTCCCTCTACCAACGACGACGTCACCGCTAGCTCGGCCAGCGACGCCCACCACATCCTCAAAGTCGTCGATTTTTTCAGTTCTAAGTATGTTTTTTTTTTTTTTTTCTGAAATCCCTCCTCCTGCTTCTTCCACTCGCACACCGACCGTCGTCGCCTGCTCCTTCCCCGCCATCGGCATTGTTTAAATTTATAAGCATCTATGGATGATTGAATTGGGGAGTGTTATTTAAATGGAATTCAAATCGATGGAGGGTAATTTCTTATGTCCTTTGTTCATTAAAATAAACTTCTAAAGCAAGTGCTTTATACTCATAGGTGGAAACTATACCATTGATGTTTCATTAGCTATACAATTTTTGGTGTTATGAAGGTGTTTGGTATTCAACATAATTTCTTGAAGGTGTTTTTTAATTGATTATGTATGCCAAGGTAAAGCTAGGACGATTGGATTATGCTAATGAGGTGTTCGATGGAATGCTCAAAAGAAGTTATTTTGTATATGGATTTTATTTTTGCATATGAGTTTTATTGATTTTTTGTCATTTTGGCATTGTGGATGATGAATGAGTAAAACTTGTACCATTTGAGTTCTCTAGGTTCTTAAATATTCAAATGGTCATATAGTCCATACTAACATTATTACTCAAGGATATATATATATATATATATATATATATATATATATAATATATATATATATATATATATATATATGGATTTTTCAGGTTTCTAAGACTATCGATATCATAAAGGTAAAAGGTGATTATAACTAGAGAACCTAGTCCGCTAAAAGGTAGGAACTAATTTTATGGTTTATCACATATAACATTAGGTACAGGTGAGGTTTATAAATCTTTTGAGGCATGTAAACTTTTTGGTGGGATCCTAATGGTTAGAAGACGGTAATCTCCTTGTAATAGCAATATACTTTCACCTATTTGTTCACTATAACATCCAATTTTAATGGTTTACTTTTAGCAGTATTTCATTCACATGTTTAATGTTGAAGGGGAAGAAAGAAGCAAAAGGAGGGTCAAGTATGGTGGCATGCTAAGAGAGGTGTGTACATTGCTTTGGTAAATTTAATAACGATTCATATTTTTACTTATTTTCATATGTTTATAAACACTTTTATATTAACTTCGTTCATGGCAATCTATTTTTTTAGTAAACAATACTTGTGCACAAGGATTTGTCTCATGATATTTTTTTAGTTTAAGTATTCCAAGTTTTATGACTTGTAATTTTCTTGCGGTTTGAAAGATTATGTTAGACAATTTTTAATGTATAATGATATTTTGAATGCATATGTTTCTATTTATGCAAATGTTTGTATATATTTTGTATATATTTGAATGTTATTATATATATATTATATATATACTATATATATATATATATATATATATATAGATATATATATAGGGTTAAGTTCAAATGAGAACACTATTTAATGTGACACGTGAGAACACTACTTTATGTTATTATTCGATTATGAATTTGTATATACAACGATATGACATTATTCATCAACAAATATACGACCAATCACACATTAATATTCACATTAAAATTTTGTATGTACAACTTTATGACATTATTCATCACCGAATATATGAACAATCACATATTTAACATTTATATTAGAATTTACTAAATTACTACACACACACACACACACATATATATATATATATATATATGATATTATATATATATATATATATATATATTATAGTAGAATAAGCAATATAAAATTGAATATATTCATATTATAATTACTACAATACTATACATATTAAATTCATAGCAGAATAGTAACATAAAGTAGTGTTCTTACGTTCTCACATTAAATAGTGTTCTCATTTGAACTTAACCCTATATATATATATATATTATATATATATATATATATATATATATATATATATATATAAGGGTGAGATCGGTTGAGAACTCATAGTTTCCCGAGAACCCGAGAACTAAAAGTGGAGCGTTAGATCAAAACTAACTCATAAAGGGCATGATTCATCTTACCGATCTCATTTAATGTTTAATTATTATTGCTATTGGAAATATTAATAAAAAGTTCTAAAAATTAACATAATAAATCAAATTTCGGATTTTTTTTTTTAAATGGAGATTTTTTAATTTTTTTTTCAGAGAACATAAATTTAAAAAAAAAAAATAAAAAAATATTTTCTTAAAAAAA